TAGTTCGAATACTCTCCGTACTCAGGCTCTAGAGGCGCTAGCAGTCTTGTTGTCTTGTTCCTGCCGACCGTGGCCCAACACGTAATAAAGTTGGAAAATTCCACGTTAGTTCAATGATAGCGGTTGTTATGTTTACGTGAATAGTTTTCCAAAAAATATAAATTTTTGCCGGTTCGGACAGCAAAATAAATACAAAGACTGAAATTAGTAAACAACATGTGGTTTTCTTAAGGTTTTATAAACAATTCATTCGTCTTAAATAAGTGTTGCTGATAAAGAGAAAACCTACTGCTATCAAGTGAAAAAGTGTTACCCATGGATAAAATCAATGCAATTTTCTTTTTATCATGAATAAGTGCATAATGGGGAATAAAAATTACTTTCCGGTGAGTTTTTGAAATTTCGTATGTTTTCACAATTTTGACGAATAGGGTAGTTTTAATATTTTTTCTTGATTAGAAACATTTTTCAAGTAATTCTACTAATGTTCAGGTAGTTCAAGTAGACAGTTTTAGGTATATTAATTCAGTTTATATAAAATATGTACACTGAAGCTATTCGAATAGCGTAACTAAAAAATCCTTCTACGAATCTCTTCAAATGTATAATCATAGTGTATTTTGTTTAGAACGATATTCATATTTTTATTTTATAGGGTTAAAAAAGTAATAGAAGCGTAACAGTTCACCACTATTTTTCGCGGTTGAACGATATATAAGGCAAGCTTATTAGTCACTCAAGCGGTAATACGGTCGCAGATCGTAGGTTGACTGCCTAGACGCTGAGTGAGGGTACCTATAGCAAAGCGTTATTAGGTGGAATAGGCCAAACGGGCGACTGTAAGTCCGGCGGTGTATTACCCCTGTATTTACCACTGTTCCAGTTATCGGTTAATCGTCGACTTCGACTTCTCAGGTATCCTTCATCACGAAGAGTTCGTGGTGGAGCTGAGAGGCGGATGTCGGCGTTTAACTGGTAGCTGGAGGAATGTTAAATGCGGGTTTTTTGCACTTTTTCGCAGTAAAATTTTTATATCTACTAAATTTTTGATTAACTGCATAATTAAATGAAATGAACCAAATTGTTTCATTAATTTTTATTATACCATATTTTCAATACAAGTGTAGACTCCCAAAGCCGATTATAGGTAAAAAGTTTTTTTTATTAGAAAAACAAGCACCAACATTTCGTTTTTACAAAGTAAAATTGAAAAGAGAATAAGGAATAATGTATTTTCAATATTTATAAATTTTAAACCTTTTTTATTTTTTGAAAGCTATACCATTATAGAGGTGATTGCAGTCAATTTTTAATATTTTTTTAATATAACAAAGTGGTTTACTATTAGGAATAGCTTTTTATCTTTTATTCTCCGAATACTTCCTCACTTTGAACAATAGTCCGAAAGAGGAAGATATTTTGCACGTTTTAGAAGTTTGTATAATTTAAACTTTTCAAACTTTGTCTATTTGTTGATATGTGGGGACTAATTTCGGAAACTAACGAACCAAAGTTAATAGCTCTTCCATTGTTTGAAATGTATATCATTATTGAGGTGGTTGTAGCTAATTTTTAATGTTTTTTAAATATTTTAAAGCATTTTTTGTTGTTAGGAATATATTTTTTGACTTTAGTTCGAGCGTAACTTTCTGTCTTTCGTACTCCGAATACTTTCTCTCTTTAACAGTTGTGTGCTTGAACGTTCGACCGACAGAACAAGATATTTTGGCTCCTTTTAGTATAAATAAGTATAAATAACAATTAAAAATGTATTTTAAAAAGTAATGCGTTATTTTTGTGGAAATTAAACCTTTTTAAACTTGTATTACAAAGGGAATGTCTTAGTTTGTCTATTTAATGATTTGTGGGGGCTAATTTCGGAAACTAACGAATCAAAGTTAAACGCTCTTTCTTGGTTTGAAAGCTATACCATTATCGAGGTGGTTGTAGCTTATTTTTAATTTGTTTTAAATATTTTAAAGCATTTTTTGTTGTTAAGAATATATTTTTTGGCTTTAATTCGAGCGTAACTTTCTGTCTTTCATACTCCGAATACTTTCTCTCTTTAACAATCGTGTGCTTGAACGATCGACCGAGAAAACTAGTCATTTTGGCTCTTTTTGGTATAAATAGTCATTAAAAATGTATTTCGAAAATGAATGCGTTATCTTTGTGTAAATTAAATCTTTTTAAACTTTTATTACGAAGGGTGTGTCTTAGTTTGTCTATTTAATGATTTGTAGGGGTAATTTCGGAAACTATCTAACCAAAGTTAAAAGCTTTTTCATGGTTTGAAAGCTATACCCTCATCGAGGTGATTGTAGCTAATTTTTAATGTTTTTTGATATTTTAATGTATTCTTTTGTTGTTAAGAATATATTTTCTTACTTTTATTCGAGCGTAACCTTCTGTCTTTCGTACTCCTAATACTTTCTCTCTTTAACAGTCGTGTGCTTGAACGATCGACCGACAGAACAAGACATTTTGGCTTGTTTTAGTATAAGTAGCCATTCTAAATGTAATTTGAAAATAAATGCGTTATCTTTGTGTAAATTAAATCTTTTTAAACTCTTTTTACGAAGGGAATGTCTTAGTTTGTCTATTTAATGATTTGTGGGGGCTAATTTTATAACTAAAAAACGAAAGTTAAAAGCTCATTGATGGTTTGAAAGCTATACCATTATCGAGGTGGTTCTAGCTTATTTTTAATTTGTTTTAAATATTTTGAAGCATTTTTTGTTGTTAAGAATATATTATCAAAACATTTGCTGTTGATTGTTTCTTTTGCTTTAGAATTTGAAGATAAATCTTCCATTTTATTAACATTGTATCGTTTTTACAAATTTTTGTTGCCCTAGTTTAAGGGTTTGTTTTCACATCTATCTTTTTTAATATTTTTTCTTTGTATTGAGAACTTCAAATCTATTCTTTCAGGTACATGATCCAATCCAATCACCAAATAAGAGCCACCCCTCCAGTGGACCAATTAGAGCATCGTCTTTACAGAGACACTTCGGGAAATGGTAGATATTAATTTTTTTTTTGTTAGACAGTTTTTTTTTATAAAACACCTTTATTTTTTCAAATTTACATACTTTATAATTTCATAACTTCGTTAACTTCTTTTACACTTCATTAATATTTATTTACATACCACCCCTTGTTTCCTTTGTATTTAATTTGGAACTATTTTATAAAGCTGTTTTTCTTTTTATTTGTTTAAGCATTACTTGAGAACCTGTTTAATTTTTTTATTTTATTTTAACATTCTTGACTTACACTTATTTTTAGATTCTTGTGCTGAAGAATTTTGTTAAATCTTTTACGTTTTCAGATACATCTTCCAGTCCACCTATAGAACAAGAACCACCGCTGCAATGGGCCATTTCAAGGATCGTCGTTATAAGGATACTTTGAGGAATGGTAGGCATTTATTACTTTCTTTGTTTAATAGCATTCATTAAAATCGTTCCTTAGTTTTTATTTATTTTAGCACTACATTCATAAGTTCATTAACTTCTTTTATTAACTTATCTTGCCTTGTTTCTCTTTAGTTCTATAGATTTAGTTGTAAACACCTTTTTAAAACTTTTCTTTTTGTTTATTTTGCTGCTTTTCTTTGGAACTTAATTTATTTTCTTTATTTTAATTTTCTTGACTTAGACTTACAATTTTTTACATTCAGGAACATCTTCCTGTCGAGCCACTGAACAAGAACCACCTCTGCATTGGGCCAAGTCAAGGATCGTCTTTATAAGGATACTTTGAGTAATGGTAGGCATTTATTATTTTCTTTGTGAAATACCATTCATTAAATTCTTTGTTAGTTTTTATTTATTTTATAATACTACTTTTGAAACATCGTTAGCATCTTTTGTTTACTTACCCTACCTTTTTTTTTATTTCTTTAGATTTAATTTTAAACTATTTTTTAAAACTTTTCTTTTTGTTTATTTTGCTACTTTTGTTTGGAACTTAATTTATTCTCTTTATTTTAATTTTCTTAACTTAGACTTACAATTTTATACTTTCAGGAACATCTTCCTGTCCAGCCACTGAACAAGAACCACCCCTGCATGGGTTAATTCAAGGATCGTCTTTATAAGGACACTTTGAGTAATGGTAGGCATTTATTATTTTCTTTGTTAAATACCATTCATTAAATTCTTTGTTAGTTTTTATTTATTTTATAATACTACTTTTGAAACATCGTTAGCATCTTTTGTTTACTTACCCTACCTTTTTTTTTATTTCTTTAGATTTAATTTTAAACTATTTTTTAAAACTTTTCTTTTTGTTTATTTTGCTACTTTTGTTTGGAACTTAATTTATTCTCTTTATTTTAATTTTCTTAACTTAGACTTACAATTTTATACTTTCAGGAACATCTTCCTGTCCAGCCACTGAACAAGAACCACCCCTGCATGGGTTAATTCAAGGATCGTCT